TTAAAATAGACTTAAAACGGGGTCCACAACGTTCCATGCTGTTGCTCTTACCAATTAGCTATCGGGGGTTCACTACTTTGCTTCTTATATTTTGTACAAACTCAATTTCTGCGATAAATCACATAGAGCCGATAATCGCGTTCCTGCTTTTATGTATGTTAAAATATTGTTTTATACTATAGTTTTAATATGAAATGTAATCTAATAAAATACTAATGCGACAGTGAGTTACAAAGATATTAAAATAGAAAACATAAAGACACACATAAGATTAAGACAACATTGTATTATTGTCTTCTTAGGAATCGTCGTTGCTTGTGGTATGTGTTGTCAATTTTGAATCCTTCTAAACGACTTTTTAAATAAATTTTAAACACTTACCCAAGTATGCACTATTTACTATCGTTAGCTCTTATTCACTATTGACTACGACATCATATAAAATGTATATTGATGACTGTGACTTATTATTTCTTGCTGAAGACAATTATCACACTCGAGCGACGCATTTGTGAGTCAAAACTATATCGATAACCAGTTCTGTCTATCAATATTCAATAACTACTTAATACTAATTGGATTTGATAGCTTACCCGGCTGTGAAGGAACGATGTATTTGTTTTGTCCTCTTTAGACATACTTGTTTTGTATTAAAAGAAAAAGAACAACACCAAAATTGTATGCTTTTATAGAGTAATTTTTACTATTATTTAATTATTTATTGCAACACACACAAGCGCTAAGTAAAATACAATATTGAATACGGTATTGAAAAGAGGACACATTTTTATTGTATCCTCCTAAAGTTAAAATGTATATTTTCCACACCACAATAGTAAATACTCAAGTATTTAAAAACAGGCTATTGGAGTATTTTCGTGTTCAACTGTTTTATACACATGGTACATTATTTTTTATTTAAAAGTTTAATATGAACGAACAGTACTATACTACTGATCTCGCGGCCATTAAATAAAACAATAGAAGGTAGTCCAGTAACTATTACTACTACTACTATGTATACTTCATATTATCAATATGTTTTACATGATATAATAAATACAAATAACGAATATAAAGCACCTTTCTTCACCACTAATGACTAATAATGTCTTGCATTATGTATGAGACAGGCCCTTCAGCGATTTCGAGAACTAATTGAGTTCTAACTACGCCCTTTTTTTAGCCTTTTTTATAGCCTTCCTCGATAAATGCTCTAACCAACACATTTTATTTTATTCGAACCAGTAGTTCCTGAGATTAGCGCATTCAAACAAACAAACTTATCTATTCTAGATCACTGTCATTTGTTTTAAGGGTGTTTTCGCTGATTCGCAATTGAATCTAAATAAACAAGAACCAAGAACATGTAACAAGCGTCCAGCTATTCGTCAGAGACCAGTCGGTTACATTGTAACGAACTGCGTAAGTTTGCAACATAGTGTCTACCGCGAACTGCCGTGTAAAGCTTTATAGGTTTTTGTCACATTATGACCACTGTTACTGAGTTTTATTTTTACTTTATGAGCACATCGTTGAATTTGTTTGAAATATAAGATAAAACATACATACAGAATTAGTAATTAGTAAGAAATAGAGTTATAATTTTAAGGAAAATTTTACTTAAAACAAAGACAAAAAAAGTTGACAAATGATACTGCGTCTAGTTATATATTAGTTAAACTAATTGGAAAATAATTTCAACTTTGGCCCGTCGTTTCGGATGCTTTGCAGCAGCTATAGTCGCGGGTAGACGTCGCGCCGTACTTATAATAATTGTAAGTAATATATATCGCGTTTTAAACCTTGCAATGTTTTATTTAAAAAAATTGATTTGTCTCTAATACCTTTTCAGTAGCTTAGTCCTCTGCTGAAAATCATCTGAAACACACCTTAATCTGATAAAAAAAAAAATTCACTTTGGGATCTCTTTTAAATTTGTTCTACATTGCATTTGACCTAAATAGTAAAGATATTTTTAAGCTATAAGAGTTGAGTTGCTTCCCGTTGTCGGCAGTTCGTCAACGCGAAAATTAAATGTATTGTGATGGGCCACTATAAATACTGCGTCTCGCGCGGTATGCGCAAGCGCATTGGTCGCGTTTAATCGTCCCATCTCTTGGCAGTCAGTCAACTAGGTTTTCTGTTATCATATCGGAAGCTATGAAAATTTGCACGGAAAGTTTGATTACCATGATGATATTATTAGAGATATTATAAGAGGTAATGATAAAACCTGAATTTAAGTAGGTACTGTTTACACTAGAAGGTACATTGAAATAAAAAGTGTCGATTTAAAATACAAAATAGGTTAGCCAACTTATTTTTAAATTAATTTTACTACTTGTTTCCTACTGGGGAACTGATTGGCTCTTCCGTCGATGGTCCTCGTCGTCTTAAATAATTAAATTTATCTTATTTGAATAACCAGATTTTTAACATCGATATTTTAAATTTTATTAGCTATGGTTTACCTACTATATTTTAAAAGGTAAGTCTAAGAAACATACAATATAATTCTGGAGGAGCATGTATCTGCTAAAGAAATCTTTATACACACTTACATGTACCACGATATATAATGTACACATACATAATAGTGCAGCTATTGTTAGTTAGTTTTAAGAAATGAGTTATGATATATCTATATCTGCGAAGGCGCTAATTATGCCTTTAAAAAATAACCAATTAAATCCTTTCTAAGATCTAATAAAAATGACTCGATGCAAGACGTTTTGAGTCACTTTTTAGCCCTCGTGCCTCTTCGAGGAACAATCTCCATAAGTGTGACGTGTTTTTGCCCGTGCATTAGGGCTGTCATTTTCTCGCTAAGTCTGCTTCGGGCTGGCTAGCCTTACCGTCTCATTGTCTGATTGAATTCCTCTGTCCTGCGCAAAAAACATAATTGCTTCTGTCAGCGGGAGGAATAACTAGATGACTGTGTGCGCGACTTTAAAGCTGATGCGGTGACCATTGATTCGAATTATGTCGTACATTTTCTTCGAGTTCAAAAATATTTTGTTCTCTTAAAAGCACGGCATGATACCAAGGATTTTTTACATTTATATTCAGAGTGTTTATTCCTTTTACATAAATAATTAAATAGGCGTTTGGTTTGACAATTCTTCCGAAATTCTTGACGCGACGTGAGTTTTTACTTAACTTTTATCTACACACTTTTTAAAAGATACTCTCTGATCATTTATATAGGGATTAGAATAGTGTTTTTATTTTTATTAATATTTTAACTGTCTCATTCAAAAAGTATCTTAAATTAAAATGTAAAATTAATCATTAAATTAAATCTACTGTCTATTTTGTATGAGACTGAACGTAGATCTAATAATGCAAACACACGTTTGCAAGTGAGCGTCAATATAAATGTTTGCTTACTAAAATCCCACGTGTCCCTCCCACATGGTGCCCCTACCCGCTGCAGTCGGGTCGGGCGCGGGCATAGCTTGTCCATATCAGGTCCAGACCTCTCCGTCATACAGCCCCATAAACGAGCTCATTACCTACGCTAAACGCCGTATCTCATTTCCATACTCCTCCGGACTTTACTCGCGTTCTTGCGTCAATTAGGAGCATTCCAGAAGCATTGCAGGTCTTCATTCATTATCAATTTGGAAGCGCACTAATAACAAATTGACTGAAATTTAGTAAAATTCATTGGTATTTTTATATATAACAGATGAGAATAGCTTTATAGAAAAGCAAATTGAACGCGAAGTCAAGTCATATAACGGGTTTTTCTATCAACAGGTTCCTGCAGTATCTATCCTTAATATTTATTTTAAAATCCCAAAATGGTGTATAGCGTGAATGCATATGCATAGAAGGTTATATTATATGTATTACCAAATTCGTTCGTTGATTATAAAGGAGGCTTCAGCCATAAAATAAACTTAGACTGACTTAATCAAAAATGCCATATACGTAACTCTGATTTCGACTCAATCGACGCTCGGTCGAACTCAGGCCAGTAGTAACCTGTGGGTTCGAGTCCCGATTAATATTTTATAATTTGCATAAGGCTTTCGCGGCCATTTTGCAATTTGATTATTTTAGATATTCAGCCTTAGCCGAACTATTTTTCAATTACGACGAACAAATAACTTGAAAACCTGTTTCACATTCGTATTAAATAAGGATTTATTATTTATATTTTAAATTCAAAAGCCATTATCGTCAGTCAAGTAATTGTATACACAGTAGAGTCACGAAGCGAAAGATAATAAAAGCGTAGTGATTCAGAATCGGGTGCACAAAGCGTGATGAAGACGGGAAATTGAACGCCCTTGTTTAGCCTCGTTGCGCGGTGTTGCCAGTTATTCTCTTCAATAAAGCAAATTCACTCACAATATCGTAACTGATATTCATAAAGGCACGCTCTTTGGAGCGAAAGTTATAACAAAAAGGCTACTTTTAATGACATTTCAAAGCCTTCCCAAATATTTAAGATAACTTACTAACTAACCTAAACCTTAAAGTCTTTATATTTTAAACTTAGGGGCATTATGTATATATTAAAAATATACTTCAATTAGAAATAAAATTTCAACACGGGCGTGACTTGATCGGGCATTCGTAACGTGCATGCATGTGAGTAGGTATACAGTGTCGATAGGTTGAAGAAATTTAACAATGATATGTAGGACACGGTAGTTAGCACCTCCGAACGCAATAAGTAGTTTCAAAAAATATATTATTTAAATTTGAAAAATTTTCGACTCGAACTGAACCGTACTTTCCGTCTTTCTCTACTAGCTACCATCCTCACCTTTCAATTTTTCAACTTATTGATACATGCACCTCTCCCAATTAATTTCTACCTTAACACTTCTATTAAATTTTTTCAATTTATTTTCGATTTTTAAATTATATAGTGCCTTCATGTGCAATAACATGTGAAAAATATTAATGTTTTCTAAATATATTTCTAATTTATTTAAAGTAATACAAACAATCTTGAAAAAATTACAAAAATAGATTAGGTCCTAGATCTCGCTCGGAAAGTGACACAGTGTGAACGGATTTTTACTGGGAGTATGTTCTTCCCGTATGATGTAGTGGTGCTGGGACGCGGGGAGGGCCGTGGGCCGTGGGCCGCCGCGGGATGTGGGCGGCCAGTCCTTGTAATTGATCTGTCGGCTCCGCGTACCATTGGCCGGGACGGCGGCTGCGCGGCTAGGCGCGGACGGGCGCATCGATTGTTTATCAACACGCGCCATCTTTGTTCCTGTTCCCGCTCACGAGGTTCGAAGACCAGGCCGTGATAGCAAGATCTAATCGGTGATAGCTCCGGTAATAAGATTTCTATATTTTAAACAGTAGTTGTTTTGGAAGTTCGCAGTGCTTAACTAACTTATACATTTCAAACGTAGACCTTTTTAAATATTTTTTTTAGGAAAAAATAAAAAGTCATTTTACATTCTGTGTTGTAATCCGTCTACCGACTCAACGTGTAACATGTTGAACTTCAATTATGTCTTTTATTATTTCTTCATAATACAAATTTATTTAAGCGCGCGATGTTATTAGTACTTTTAACGTGGTAAACATTTACCAGCTAATTGGATTCTTAGAGAAACATTTCACTCATTTTATAGTTATATTAAACTTCTTAAAATACTACGAGAATAGCAATTTACCTTGAAATATACTAATATGGCACTCGTTAACTTAAAAAAGCATCGCTAACACCATACACCTAGCGAGGCAATACCTAATTAGCGCTTAATAGAGCGCAACCAGCTATAACATCGATAAGTCTTATCGACATGTGCACATCTCTGTGTCGGCGAGATGAAAGCGTTCGGTCAGCGAAGACCGCAACACTAATTGAGCGTCACTGCGTTTCACTAATTACTCGAGTTAATCCGTATTCCGCATGAAGATGAGCTATTAGTTGCGCCTGCGCTTGAGCGTTCATGATACGCCGATCTTATTCATATTTCATAAGACGCAACATTGTCGGTCCGACGTACAACGATTCGAGGGTATTTCTTCTTCGAAGAGAGCGAAGTATGTTTGCAAAACAAAGTTTGATATTGTCGGTTAGAGAAACATAACAATTTAAAACTTTGTACATATGACTCTTTATTACCTAAATATCAAATATAGTATATTTTGGGTATATTAGTAGCAATGTTCTAGTTGTTGTATGTATGATGTAGGATCAACGGGTCGTGGGTTCGATTACCACCGGGTCCAACATTTTCCTAATTATTTTACACATTTTCAAGTCCAACATATTAAATGGGTGGAATCGATACCGAAATTCCATCCGGATCACGAACCATCGTCCACAGATGAAAAAGCCGTGAAGTTTAATCACGTTTCAGTCTGTGGATTTCCGAATATCCAAAGCTAAAATAGGTCTTGTTTAGATGCTATATTTCACCTATTATCAAGTGACCCCTAGGCTGATACTAGGCTGATCTCCTCTATCAATAAAAAAAACTTGTTGAATAGTAAATCTATTGAAACGTCATAACGAGAAATCCTCTCTAATTCCTTTGTTCTAACTGACGGCTCATCAAGAAATATAACTGAATATTCGTCTTCCGGTTTTACTTGTTTTTGTCTTTGTACGCGTGTCCAACTACTGAATAATGCAAGCGTCCGGCCCCGCTGTCGTCCGTCTGTCTGTCCGGCTGTCCCTATGTTTATCTTGCAATTTTTGATGATTGTCATATTTAGATAGTGAGAAGGTATATGGCATTACCAAAATTGTTTAATATTGATTTAGAATTTCATTAATTTTTGTAAGAGTAGGTATAGGACCTATAGTTTGAATTATTGGATAGAGAATTGTATAAGATAGAGATACAATTAAAAAGTTTTATATAATTTAAAAATCCAAAATAAATTGAAAAAATGTTCATCTCGGGCAAGACTTGAACCGGCATAAAGTTTCCAAACGTTACGTTTTTATAAAACAAAAAAAAACAAGATTTCGTACAAAACTAAATAATCTAAAACTTTTGCAAACCTATTTCTCTAATATTATATCAGTTGGAACAAAAAGCATGAACAAAAAATATGAACCATTATTCTCGTCACTTTGCACTTAAATGTATAAGCAATAATGCAGTTAAAATAATATTAAAACCATTAACGGGCACTAATGCCTTTTTATCGAAATTCCATTCACATCTTAAATAATAGAAATGTTCCCATAATATTTTAATGGTGGTAATAAAGTGTGATTGATCGTGTACTGCTCGGTGGTAATGAGATGGTCGACTATGTGTTGCCGGTAGGTACCCGGGCTATTAATCATACTTGTTATTGTTTTTGAAAATCTCGTTTATGTGCACGAAATTAATTGTTATTTGATGGGGAGGATTGAAAAACGATTGATGGAAAGTATGGAAAAACAGCAGTAACGAATAAATAAATGAAAACATATTTTTTTCTAGTGAGTGGTTGAAAGTAAGTGAAACGGTTTTAGGACTAGCTTCGTTCAAGACTTGTCTAGTCTAAAACGGTGTATTATTAAAAAACTTATAAGTTAAGGTTGAAATAACATTGCGCGAGAGGTGCATGTATCAACAAGTTGAAAAAATTCGACGATGAGGTGTAGGACTCGGTAGCTCAATTGGTAGAGCTACAGCACGGAACGCTGACGATGACGGTTCAAGTCCTGCACGAGTCGAATTTAAAAAAAATATATTCTCGATTTTTAAACTCATAAGTAATTAAATGTACTTACTTTGTGTAGTTTATGCGAGTTGTATACGTTACGTAATATGATTTTGAAGTTAACTAATTTACGTATTTAGTAACTAATGTCATTAAACTAAAACGCTACGAGGACTTTGTTTTTCTCACCGAGAAGAACACAAGCCTACGTTCACTTGGTGGAAAGTAACTTATACCTACATAAACAACAAGATATGCTGTCAACCTATTACTTTAGATTTTCGAAATCCGAAGACTGAAACTAAAACGAAATTTTCAATCCGGACAAAATTGATTTCTTAGAAACATTCGATCTAGGATCGATCGGAAATTTACAGTTTACGTATAAATAAACAAAAATAATAATTCAGCATATCATTGTCTTTCGGGCTGTTCGGCCGATGTGAGCGAGAAGAGGTTTTCGACGTTTCGCCATCACGTGTGGACGGCATCATAAGGAGATGTTGACTCTTCGATTGCTCGAAGAATTATGATAATATTAATCATTATGAATTATCATAATTCTTCGAGCACATCGGCCGAACAGCCCGAAAGACAATGATATGCTGAACGATGGCCGTGAAAGCCTTACACAATGTATAAATAATAATTGTATAGTGTGTTTTTCTTTGCTCCAAAATATGTTAATTGAGCAATTATACAAGTTTAAATGACTAACTTTACTTCGAGTATACGACCTTTATTACTGAAGTTATTAAAGACAGATCTTAGGGGCGCTTCTTAGAGTACTCGGAGCCACTTGTACGATGCTATTAATCCGTAGTCGATAATGAAGCTGAGGATTAAGTTCAGCGAACTTCCTCGCGTCATAATTAAATTCCCACGAGAGGAAATTTTTCATCACATTACGTGAGTGGGCACTTCTTGCGAACTTTATACTCGTTGCTGTAGACTTGAGATTAATGAATGTTTAGGCTTATGAAGTTCGTTTCAACCTATTCATATCCCGCCGCTGGGCACAGGGCTCAGTCCCACTAAATGCTGCGTGAGGCTGTCTTCAGCGACGAGCACTGCTAAATTAGTGGTGATAATCTAGACCGACTTGACGTTCTATTCAGAAATATTCTTACTGAAGGCTCAACCCTTGCGCTCAACTCCGATTCTAAGCGGAGTCTTCGAACCCGGGACCTCTTGATCTTCATTCGAACACATTAAAGAGTGGAGTAGTTAGAAATATTCACTTTGAAACTTTTGACGGGTTCGGTGGTCCAATGCATGGCTGACAATGTCCCCATGGCTAGAAAACGACGGGTCGTAGATTCGAGTCCCACCGCGTCGAACATGTTCCCAATCATTTTTTTACATTTCGGACGTCGTCTGGAAAACTAAATGTTAAAGGGGTGGTAGGAATCGAAATTTAGTCCGAAAAAGCCTGTGGATTTCTGAATAACCCAAGCCGAAATAGATAAGGTATGTAGGTTTCACCTACTAATTATAAATATAAAAAACTATGAAAATATGTAATATGATATATCGTACGTCGTAGCTCGATGACTTTGTGTCTTCGTTCTAAAGTTGTAACATTGAAAATAAATTTGTTAAAACCATTCGGTTTCATAACCGTGTCTGCATTACGTCTTATCCTAATCTTACCTTAGCCTAATCTGAAAAATATATATCGTGTACTTTATACACAGGTACCTTCATTTAGTCCAAGTATCGTTTTGTGTATAATCTCGAAATTGCTGAATCTGCAAGCGAAACAATTGTTACTGTAACTACACTCCCATTTAATAAATTCGTGTAATCCAGGTGCAAAGACGTACTTGAGTACTTGAAAATTTTAAATGAAGTGTCCAGATCGCAATTATTCCCCAACCCTACCTTCCTCGCGCACTGAGTTTTTACATAAATTTGCGAACCCTTCCGCCGTTCTCGGAGAATTTAATTTACTTCGTGATTCTATCTCGAGAGGTTCTTGTCCATAAATATTATCTTTGTAATCAAATAATTTTGCTAGGAGTAACGAGTGGCGGTTTCCAGCAGTCAACATGTTTCAAGTCAAATTAAAGATTCTCTAAAAACGGGTTGAACTATATATGTGTTGCATATGAATATTAAATGTGGGCTAGTGATATCAAAGATTGACAGAAGAAAAAGACGAAAAATCCATGAAATCTACATCGCGCTTCCTTTTCTGTATGTAGATCTTTAAAAGTCAAATGCCAAAATAGATTCAGCGAACATTTGTTTAAGATATTCATAGATGGGGTTTTTCATTTGCATGTGTTAAAAAACCAACATAAAAGTTAACTTAAGAACTTACTTATGTACTTATTTCAAAGAAACTCTTTAATAATACGTTTTTTTTTTAATCTCTCATTTTACTTCGAAAGAGTAAGATTTCAGTAATTTGTTTCTAATTTTTATTGTATTGTGTTATATTTATTACTATATGTGGTACTGAATTTCTACATCGCAACTCTGTTTTCAGTGCGATTGATTTAATTTTGAAATTGGTTTTTATTTATATAATGAAATAACATTTTGAATAACATTTCATCACCGTCAGCTTTGCTTGACA